CGGCTGCAGTACAATTGGATTCATCCGTCCTCTTCTGGTGAGATCGACCTACGAATCTCTTCTTCATGCACTTTCATAAGAAATGAAAGTCCTCCCTACTTTATCTAACACCCATTTCTACAAGTTATTATAATTAAGAATAAAAATAAAAAAAATTTATAATACCTAAATAAATAAATTGTTTAAATTAATTTTTTAATCTTACGTTTAATTATATAAATATATATATAACAAGAATAATTGTTTATATGCATCAAACTAATATAATCTGTTCAAAGTGCAGCTCGTCTTTAGCAGGTAGCTTAAACAAGCCGTATGTTACGTTTTATTATATTTTTCAGACCTAGATTACCCTTAAAATATGACAGATAAATTACGTTATAAAATATGTTTTCTATGCATGCTCATTTAATCATCTCTATCATTATAGTTTGCTTTTATTAATTGTTTTTCCCATCCCAGGACTCACCGCCAAGATCGTCCCTAACCACTGATTAATTTGCTGATCAAATGTCTGCGTATGCGTATGTCCCTATCAATTATATGTGTCTTCCAAATTAAATATCCGTTAATTTTTATTACATTAATTTTTTAGTACTGGTTTTGACGCTGCTACTGGCCAATATCTTGAAGTACCCATTGATCAGGCGGGAACATACGTTATTCAGGACCCTGGCTTAATTGCTGGAACGCAGCTGCAACTAAGCAATGTTATACAAGGTGGAAAAAGCCTTCTTAAACCTGAGTTAGCGCAGCATCTGACTCAATCTGGAGGTTACAAAGTAAATAATGTTTACTCATCTATTTTATGATGGTTATTAAAAAGACAATGTTTACACCTTAACGACACCAAACTTTTTTTAATTATTTTTGTGCGTATTTTAGGTTTTAGTGAGCGATTTTTCTTTAATTTGCTTGCAATATAAACTATTAAATATCCTGTATCTTTATCTTCCATTCAACATCTACATTCATATTGACGCTATTTAATATTATGATGAATATTTCATATCATATATGATAAATTGATTACATTTATTTTAGCTTCGGAAACCTGAAGTATTAATTTATGCTTTTGATATTTGTCATAAGTGCTACTATTAATTTAAGGTATTTTATCCAAATATATGTAATGATCCTGTAAAAATGCTATCATTACATTTGTCTTATTTCATAATATTATTAGTAGTATTAATAATGAGGTTTAGGCCTATACTTACTTCTAACTATGAATGATTTCGGTAAAACTTGTTA